GGGTCCTCATTTTACCCACCTCGGAAGGATGGAACGCTGAGTCAACCCTGAGCCGGTGAGATTTGAACCGCTGAACTGCTGATCTAGCAGTAGCCTGCAGTGCTGCATTTAACCACTGCACCACCTTGGCTCAGATACAGATAAAAGCAACAGCCATAGGCTTCTATGGTGATGAGGAAAGAAATGAAATGTGTGCAATGACATCCCAACCCAAACTTTGTGAATCATATTTTTCCTCCAATATTAGGATACAAGCACAAGAGATAGGATGGCATTTTTTATCATCATGAATGTCTATGGCCACAATAAATCCATTACTGTTATTGCCTTTTATATCTTCAATTTCTTTTTCTCAGATGCTATACCGAATGTGCCAAGTAAATATACTCTTCAGTATCTGAGTCATTATTTCCCTGAGCAAGGATTAAGTGAGTAATTCATATATAAGTACAATTAAGATAGAAATGCATGTGTAAACAGTTTATTTACAGGCAGCGCAGTATAGTGAAATTATGTCTATGTCAAGCTGTTTCAACAGTGCTTATTCCCAGGTCTAGTCACCGTTTGCAAAAATAAATTCTTTAATTCTGCATTTTATTACAGTGGAAGTGGACTGTGCTTCTTGATTTCCTTAGGCAAATTAAGAATTAGATTCCATTGTGACAAATTAATACTATAGAAAAACTACTGAAGAGTAAATATTGTTACAGAAACATAAACAGTAAACATACATAAAAAGTTCAAATGAAATCTAACCCTTAAAATGCTGACAGCTAAAATGTCCCTAACAGTCTTTTGGGTAAAAATTATCTTGTCTGAGGTTGGAAGTGGAATGTGGTGTGAAAGAGGTGAAAGTGTTAAGTGTTTGATACTATTTTTATGGCCAAAGACAGGCTTATAAAATCAAGTTGACATTTGCCATAATTCTTTTTGCGATTTTGCGATTCTTGATAAAATAATTACGCTTCCAGCTTTTATGATTATGAAAAACTAAAAACAAAATATGATTATAGTAGTGTTTTACAAAATAAATTCATTAATGTGATTTTTCATTTTTCTTAATTTCCAAGCTTAGTTATATATGTCAGTTCACTTAATTGTATAAAAATGTGCACACATTCTGCCTTTTGTAGTTTATATGATTGTATATACAGTACGAGAGAGAAAATCTAGGCACTTAAGAGCTAGATAGGTTCCTTAACAATATTTGATACAGTCAACTTTTATCATGTCAAGATTGTATTACAGTACTATGTCTGGGTTTGGTCTTTTATACAAACAGATTTGGGATGGGACCTAACCCACCCTTTTAAGCACGTTGTTTCCCAGAGACTTTTTCTACCTCCCACTGCCCATAACCAAATGTGCAATACACCAAGGAAAAATAGTGCACTTCTGGGTTGCCGATTTCCTAGAGTGGAAAATGTGAAGAAGGAAGTAAGCGTCCATCAAAAAAGTTAAGTATTGTAGCACAATATTATGAGATGGAGGAGGGGGAGGGGGAGGCAATGCATAATAAGTGATCAACCATGCAGATATAGTAAATATATAGTAATTCCTTTCATATACAAATCTGATGGTAGTTATAGACAGTTTTAGAAGCCTTCTGTAACCTGACACCCTTCAGTTGTGTTAGGACAGGGGTATCAAACTGGCGGCCTGTGGGCCGGATGCGTCATGCGCAGCCCATGCCCACCCCAGCTCTGTGAAGGGAAAAAAGTCACAATACATCACTTGATGGCAACGTGACACTGCAACTTTGACACCCGTGTGTTAATGCTATGACTCTGTTTACTGGTTCTCAGGACACCCAAAAGGAAGACCAAGTCATTTTACTCAGAATGATGTAGATATTAGAAAAAATGTAGATATTAGAAACCATCAAACATCCTACAGGTGCTTAGAAATTTTTGCATTTTTATCTAGACCAGGGGTGTCAAACTCAAGGCCCGGTTGCCAGATCTGGCCCACAGAGTGCTTAGATCTGGCCTGCAGAGCCAGTCTGGAAACAGCAAAGGACCAGCCCGCAGTGCTTCTGCTAGTAAAAATTGAGCTTGGGGGGGAGGGGCTGCGTGTATTCACTAGCAGGAAAGGAGAAAGGGAGAGAGGAGAGGAAAAAAAAGGAAAAATGGGAAGAGAGCAAGGAAGGAAAAAGAAGGAAAGAGGGGAAGGAAGAAGAAAAGAAGGAAGAGGGAATAAAAAAGAAGAGGAAGGAAGGAGATTATAATAGCAATAGCAATAGCAGTAGACTTATATACCGCTTCATAGGCCTTTCAGGCCTCTCTAAGCGGTTTACAGAGAGTCAGCATATTGNAATTACTGAAATGGAATTATATTGTAGAACCAATTCTGCATTTCCCATTTCTTGCTTTTCCCATTCCTGATGTCATCATAAATGCTATAGGAAGTGTGTGTGTGTGTGTGTGTGTGTGTGTGTGTGTGAATGTTGCATTGTTTCTGTTAATTGGAACAGTACCATTATTGTTCCTCTCTACAAAGATAAAAATAGCAAAATTAAATGCAAAAACTAGGGGGTCACATTGGTATGTTTGGGAATGCTGAAAGCTTGGGATAACCATATAAGGAATGGTTAAATGACTTAAATGGGATTGGTTGTCGATTTGAATATATATGTATGTGGCTGATGGCTAACAGTCTGAATCATTTGCAGTGAATATTGATTATATGGTTCTGAAAATTAATGTACCAAATTAGTGGATTTAACAGCAATTGCAAGTTATACATAGTGAAAAGCAGAGCAATAATATGAATATTGGTGACTTTATAGAATTTCACTAATATGTAAACTAAAGTTGAGGAACTAAGTGGAGAACTGTAAAGATGTGCAAACACTGGTAGAAGACACCGCTACAATAGTATATAGGCTATTGCAAGGAAATATAATATGTGACTAGCATATAAGCAGTTGTGTGTTTTATTGCAAGAATGTTGTCCATGATATTGTAAAAGAAGGTGACATTTTTATGTTTAAGAATATACTTCTGCCTGTTTTGTTACACAAAATAAAAGCTGGTTATACCGGGAAGAAAAGTAAATTGAATGCATTGGAAATGGAGTATTTAACATGTAGGTATGGAAAACAAGAAGAGATGAGTTCAAGAAAGATGCGAGCTAAGTGAATTAATGTGGATCTTGTTCAAAAATGACCTGTGTGCAAAAAATGTGTTCAGGTGATTTGATCATATACCAACCATGTATGTCAATCAAATTGCAAAACACACACACACACATATATACACACACACACAAGTGACTTTGTAAACTAGACTTAGTGTATAGTATTGGTGTAAACTAGATTTGGCTTTTTTTTCCCTTTCCTCATGCATCCTGGTCTTTTGCCTTAATATTTCCTACTCCTTTTCTATTCTTTTCTATTATTGTTCTTCATTCCAAAAGAGCATGGTATGTGCATGTGCATGTATTAAGGTTAGTTTTTATAATTTTGTGGAATAACTCAATTATGTCTGATTAGAAATAAAATAGATGTGTTTATGCTTTAAAATGTTGACTTTACGTGCAGAGAGAATATTTCATCTATAAGCATTCCATTCTTTAAACCAGTCTTCCTCAGCCTGGTACCCTTCTAATACGTTAGCCTTCACTTTCTCACATTCTCTTAATTTAGACTACAGCATCTACCTACATAATTCATTGGAATTATGGCCAGACATAATGAGGAAAGATGCAGCAGTATTTAGCATACCCAGACTACTTATAGTCTGTGCCATAAAACTATTTATCACAGATTTTAATTAGTCTTTACATACAAAGAAAGAAATTAGGGAGTTCAGTAATGTGGAAGAATAATAATCATGCATTTGTCTCTGTTTTCTCTAATAGTCAAAGACTTTAGCAGGGGTTCATGAATTGTTTAAAGAAACTAGTTCCATTTTAAAAAGTAAACCAGATCAAATGGCTTTTCCCTCTAAAAAAGGTAAGAACATTTTTATCAGCTTGTACATTTTGTTAGTTACATGGTGCATTATAAATAGGGTACGTTCTACATTTTATATAATCTTCCCAGTCCTGTATAATGTCCTTATAACTTCCATGGTCTATTTTAGCCGTGAAGTAGCTGGTACCTGCACTAGTGACCAACTTAAAATGTATTAAAGATTAGATTAGAGTGACTTAGGTTAGATGACTGGAGTAGAAGTGTGAGGAATAAAATAAATTGCATACATACAATAATTATGGTTTGAGGGAAGGAGTTCCACTGGTAGTTACAACTTAATCTGAATGAATGGGTGAGTATAAGTCAAGCATATTAAAAATAACACCTATAATAAAGTAAACTGTTTACTCATTTTATGACATTAAACATTACAATATTAAAAATTCAAAATACACAGCCAGGAATTGTTAAATGCCAGTTTAAAAAGATAATTTTTAAATCTTTTTAGAGCCTGATCTTGTTTGCAGATTTAATGGTACTGTGAGAGGATGGAGGAAATTTTTTTTTGGTGATAAGATATCTGTAAAGAGATTTGATCATGTGCTCTAACACTATACTTGCATTGGACAATTTAAAAAAAATAGTATAGAGGGAACTGGTCTTTCATTCCCTTTGGACATTTCACTCTCACTTTAAATTCCCATCCAGCATAATTGCAGGCAAGGATTAAGGAAGAACTGGAATTTATTCTCAGATTAGATTGTTTCTTTTAGAGTCCGAACAAAGACTTCTTGTATTTTATATTGTTCACTTAGTATATCTACTGGGCATTTTCTGTGTTCCCAATTCTGTATTTTAATAGGAAATTAAGTGTAGAAACTTTATGTAAAAAAAATACGATTCTTCCAACCTGCCATATAATTTCTGATAAACTCATGGTGCATATAGACATGCTAGACATTCTGGATACATTCCAGTTCTACAAAACACTAGTTGAGCATGTCTTGAGGTCTGTAATTTCATTTATTCTTTAGTGAACCTTAATGTGTGTATGTATGTGTCTACCACTTTCTTGAACTTTTTATATTTGATAAAAAAGACTCTTTTTCAGAAAAATCTACTACAAGAAAACATTTTTAAAGTTAGCATTAGGGTTATTTCTGGTCTCATAGATATTTATACAATAATACAATAGCAGAGTTGGAAGGGACCTTGGAGGTCTTCTAGTCCAACCCCCTGCCTAGGCAGGAAACCCTATACCATTTCAGATAGATGGCTATCCAACATCTTCTTAAAGACTTGCAGTGTTGGGGCATTTACAACTTCTGGAGGGAAGCTGTTCCACTGATTAATTGTTCTAACTGTCAGGAAATTTCTCCTCAGTTCTAAGTTGCTTCTCTCCTTGATTAGTTTCCACCCATTGCTTCTTGTTCTACCCTCAGGTGCCTTGGAAAATAGTTTGACTCCCTCTTCTTTGTGGCAACCCCTGAAATATTGGAACACTGCTATCATGTCTCCCCTAGTCCTTCTTTCTCTTAAACTAGACATACGCAGTTCCTGCAACCGTTCTTCATATGTTTTAGCCTCCAGTCCCCTAATCATCTTTGTTGCTCTTCTCTGCACTCTTTCTAGAGTCTCCACATCTTTTCTACATCGTGGCGACCAGAACTGAATGCAGTATTCCAAGTGTGGCCTTACCAAGGCATTATAAAGTGGTATTAACACTTCACGTGATCTTGATTCTATCCCTCTGTTTATGTAGCCTAGAACTGTGTTGGCTTTTTTTGGCAGCTGCTTTGTACTGCTGGCTCATATTTAAATGGTTGTCCACTAGGGCTCCAAGATCCCTCTCACAGTTACTACTATTGAGGAAGGTACCACCTATACTGTACCTGTGCATTTCGTTTTTCTTGCCTAAATGTAGAACCTTACTCTTTTACCAAAGTGTATGCATTTTAGAGAGTTAGAATGTAACCTTGAATCTAAAATTCTGTTAAGTCACAAAATCTATCATATGTTTTAGGCTAATCAGTTACCTGTCTTAGATTATTATACCTTAATTTAATAATTGTAAATATGAATACAAATTGCACTGTCACATCAGTCCCTACTTTTCCTCTTATCACTATATCATGACTAATTTTCAAATTAGTCGATTGTCTTTGCATTCAAATATGGAAATTATTATTACAAAATCTTTAAACTGTAATTTAACATTCTGGATTATTCCAGATCTGGTAAACATAGTTTCCTGGTGTACACATAGTGGTATAAATGCAATATTTTATATTATTATGTTACAGTACAGTACTGTATACATCTATACCGTATACTTTGAGATGAGAATGGGAAGGAGCAATGCCAGGATAGAAGGAAAACACATAAGCCTATTGCTTGTGTTAATTTATTTATTGAAATAAGAATTTTTTTTTCTTAGGGTATACTAATTAATATTAATTCCATGAAGTTATATAAAAACTATTCCAAATATCTCTGTTTATCTCATGGAAATCAAAGCAAAATAGACATACTTTTAAACAAACTTTTCTGGAGTTTATATTTTGTGTGCATCATCATCATTATCTGATAAATTTATATGAAGCCCAACTCTGCGCCATTACCAAATTTTATCGTACCTTAAAAGCTAACAGATAAACAAATATCTTATCATATACAGTAAATCTTAATAAACTACGGTATAATTCAGACACATGAAGTTACGTTTGAGCGAGTGTAAACTGGGAAAGGTTGAGGATACTTATTGATTGCTGCACATAAACAACACAGCAAGATAAACATTATCATACAATAAAGGACGTATCCATTGGTCTCTGTCTATAAGCATTAGTCACCTTTGCCAGTGAACAAGATGGCTCATTTTGTTCATTTATCTGTTTTATTGATACAATAGCAGTAGACTTATATACCGCTTCATAGGGCTTTCAGCCCTCTCTAAGCGGTTTACAGAGAGTCAGCATATTGCCCCCAACAATCTG